GCTTTTCAACTGGACCTTTGGAGCTCAGTCCAATACTCCCATGTGGGACTCTGTCTCTATCTCCATCTGTCGCTGGATGAAGGTTTTTATGGTGATATTCAAGATAGTCATCAGTCAAGATAGTCATCCAGTTGAAGAGTAGCAGGAGGGAGAAGATGAGCAAGGAAGTCAGAACCGCAAGGTCCACCAACTGAGGCAGTGTGACTGTTCTAATGGGAGCTCACCAAATCCAGCTGAACTGGGATTGAACAAGCATGTGATCAAACTGGACTCTCTGATTGTGACTGACAATGGGGGCTGACTGAGAAGTCATTGATAAAGGCACTGGGACTTGTTTTTATAGCATGTTCTGGTTTTTTGGGACCCTAGTCTATATGGATGCACAGCTTCCTATGCCTGGATGTAGGAGGGAGGGCCTTGGACTTCCCACAGGGCAGGGTTCCCTGCCCTCTCTCAAGCAGGGAAGGGGAGGGGGGAGAGTGAGTGGAGGAGCGGGAGGGGATGGGGAGGATGGGAGGAAGTGTAAATTTTTGAATGAAAAAAAAAACGATTCAAATAAGAAAAAAAGAAGAAGAAGAAGAAGAAGAAGAAGAAGCCATGTCTCTGTTGCCGGTCAGCAAACAGAGCCCACCTAAGAAAATGCTACTACCAAGAAGTCATGCTTACTTCTGTTCTTTTCTGTCTAGAATTCCTTCTCAAGCTCTCTCAGGTTTTATGTGGATATAGTTGCCCCAAGTTGGCACCATTTTGTAGACAGAGACTGCTTGTTCATTCTCTGCCACCCAGACCTGAATAAATCACACAGAAACTATATTAATTACAAAACTGTTTGGCCAATAGTTTAGGCAAATTTCTAGTTAACTCTTATATCTTAAATTAACCCAGTTATATTATTCTGTGTATCGCCACAAGGCTGTGGCTTACCAGTAAGTTCTGGCTGATGGCTGGCAACTGGTGCCTTTGTTCTTTGGCAGCTTCATGGCATCTTCTTGACTCCACCTACTTTCTCTCTATATCTCTGTTTGGATTTCTCACCTGGCTTTACTCTACTAAGCCATTGGCTGAAAGAGCTTCTTTAATAATTGATGGTAATAATGGTAGTAAAACATATTCATAGCATACAGAGATGAATCCCACATCAGGACACAGCCACTAAGACAAAACGACAGTCTACGGAATGGGAAAAGATCTTCACTAACCCCACATCGGACAGAGAATTAATCTCCAAAACATATAAAGAACTAAAGAAATGAGACATAAAATTACCAAATAATCCAATCAAAAATGGGCTACAGGTCTAAACAGAGAATTCTCAACAATAGAATTGCAAATGACTAAAAGACAAATAAGAAATTGCTCAACATTCTTAGCCATCAGGAAAATGCACATCAAAATGACTCCAGTCAGAATGGCTAAGTTCAAAAACACCAATGGTAGCTTATGCTGGAGAGGATGTGGAGTAAGCAGAACACTCCTCCATTGCTGGTGGGAATGCAAACTTGTACAGCCACTTTGGGAATCAGTGTTGTGGTTTTTCAGAAAACTGGTAATCAATTTACCTGAGGACCCAGCAATGCCACTCGTGGGCATAAACCCAAAGGATGCACACTCACACCACAAGGACATTTGTTCAACTGTGTTCATAGCAGCATTACTTATAATAGCCAGAACCTGGAAACAACCTAGATGCCTCTCAACCAAATAATGGATAAAGAAAATGTGGTACATTTACACAATGGAGTACTACTCAGCAGTAAAAAAAAAAATGACATCTTGAAATTTACATGCAAATGAATGGAACTCTAAAAAGCCATACTGAGTGAGGTAACCCAGATTCAGATAGACAAACATTATATAGACTCACAAGTTGATGTAAAGCAAAGGATAATCAGCCTATAGTCCACAATCCCAGAGAAGCTAGGTAACAAGAAAAACCCAAGGATCCCCTTGGAAAGGAGAAACAGACAAAACTTCCTGAGAAATTTTGGAAGTGGGAGAGAAAGGAGATGGGAGGAGAGGGGAAGGGGGGGGAACAGGATGCTCAAGAAGGGGGATGCACAGAGAAGGAGAGAAAGGAAAGAGATATCCTAATCGAGGGAGCCAATAAAGTTCTAGTGAGAAACATGGTACTAGGGAATTTCCCAGGAATCCACAAGGATGATCCCAGCTAAGTCTCTAAGCAACAGTGGAGAGGACACCTAAACTGGCCTTCCTCTGTAATTAGATTGATGACTACATTAATTGTCATTATAAAACCTTCATCCAGTAACTGATGGGAGCAGACACAGAGATCTACAGTGAAGCACTGAACCAAGCTACCAGAGACCACTCCAAGAGAGGAAGGAGCAAGAATGTGAGCAAAGGGGTCAAGACCCTGATGGTGATACCCACAGAAACAGCTGACCTGAGCTAATGAGAACTCACTGCATCTGTACTGATAATGGGGGAACCTGCACAGGCCTAAACTAGGCCCACTGAAAGTGGGGGACAGTTGTGAGGCTTGTACAGTCTGTGGGTCCATTGGCAGTAGGACCAGATTTATCCCTAGTGCTTGAACTGACATCAAGGAGCACATTCTCTTTGGAGGGATACCTTTTTCAGCCTAGGTGTATGGGGAGGGCCTTGGTCTTCCTTTGAAGTGAAATGTTAGACTTTTTTGACTCCCCATGGTAAGCCTTACCCTTTCTGAGGAATAGATGGGGGTGGCATGGGGGTACGAATAGGGTGGGAGGATGGGAGGGAGTGGGAATGGGGATAGCTTTGTAAAATGAGAAAAGATTGTATTAAAAAATTCTCCATAAAAAGAAAAAAAAACATAGTCATCTTTATTATGTTGAGGCATGTATGTCCTTTGTATCCCCAATCTCTCCAGGACTTTTATTATGAAGGGATATTGAATTTTGTCAAAGGTGTTTTCTACATGTAATGAGATGATAATGTAGTTTTGTTTTTCAGTGTGTGTATATGGTGGATTATAGTTACCTATTTACATATTTTCGACCATCCCTGCATCTCAAGGATGAAGTCTACTTGCTCATGGTGGATCATATTTTTTTTTGTTAAGATAGTAGTTTATTCAAAAGATTAAAAAAGGTTCCAGTCATTAAATTGAAGAAAATAATACAAAATTTCCCCCTTGGTTTTCCACAAAGAACAGAGTGGTAGAGCTTTCTTTAAAGTCTCAGAGGAGATTTTAAACTGTTGCACATTTTGGTTTACTTAAACTTACTATTAGAAAAATTGTCAACAAAAAAATGATTTTTGTGATAATCTTGTTTCAATTTTCTCTTAGTGTTGTTTAGTGATTTTTTTAATATTTCACCCTTACAGAGTTAAAAAAATTAGTTATTTTTGCCTTTATTGTTCAGAAATTCAGTTTGACCAAGAATATCCTCTGTTACAATTGATTGCTTCTCCCCTGATCAACATTTGAGACAGTCTCAAAACAAGTGTGTTCTTGGATTCAGTTTGCACACATTTTATTGAGAATTTTCGCTTGTGTGTTCATAAGGAAAATTGGTCTGTAATTATTTTTTCTTTTTTGGGTCTTTACGTGTTTGGGACATCAAAGTAGCTATGGCTTTGTAAGCGGAACTCAGCAGTGTTTCTTCTGTTCCAATTTTGTGGAATAATTTGAAGCACACTGGCATTAATTCATCTTCTAAAGTTTGGCAGAATTCTACACTGAAGCCATCTGGCCCTAGGCCTTTTTTTGGGTTATGAGACTTTTAATTACTGCTTCCATTTAACTAGCAGTTATATGTCTATTTAAGTTGCTTATCTGAATTTGATTTAATGTTGGCAGGTGGTATATATCAAGAAAATTATCCATTTCTTTTAAATTTTCCAATTTGGGTCTATTCTTTTTTTTGAAGTTATTATGTGCCTTTCATCAAAGAAAAAAATTGCTTACCATATTCCAAAATTATATAATTCTTTCCGAAATTCTCATTGCGTTGAAATGGAAAGTATCAGTCATTTTTACTTAATGTGTTCTCCTAATGTGTTCGATTCTGAACCAATGTTTCCTTCATTTATCAGCTGTGACCCCATAGTAACCATATATTCTTATGTGGGAGAGATTGGTGGAGCCTATGTGCTCATGTTCCCAACATATCCAAACCCCAAACCTCTGCTCTACAGCTGTAGAAGAACGACCGTGTCAGCGCTCTATCTGCTGGATGCATCAATCACCCAAATCTTCTAAGGAAAGAAGGCTGTGATTTGCATAAATAAAGAGATGGATATACTCTCCAGGGTCAAGGAGGAGTGGCTCTGGTAACTGCAAGAGCCTTGTTCTCATAGCACCAGGGGCAGGTCAGTTGCCATTTTCTCACACTCAGAATTGCTGTTCCCTTTCTACCAGGGTGAAATACATCCCTGCCTAAGAACCCCTGTTAGTGAAGTTTGGCTGCAGAATCACAGAAGTGTCCTTACCTTATTCTGTTTCAGCTATTATCTTGAAATTAAGTTCGAGGTTATTGTAATAACATTCTATTCATGTAGACACTGGAGATTTAATTTTGGAGAATATGAAGACAGATATGGTTGACAATAGGTGTGTTGCAGATGTGGAACTGGCAACCAACCCCTCATCCATAGGCTTTGAAGTTTTTTCCTCTTGGTGATAATTTCTGCTGCTGAAAACTTCCTCCCTGGAATCCTCCTTAAATCCTGGCTATAAGGGCATGTGGACATTAGGGTTTGTTCCTTGAAGCCACCCTTTTCTCAGCTATTTCCTAGGTTGTCAGTTTAAAACCCCACGAGGAAAAGGGTCTAGAGGGCATTAGGATTATTAGCTCATACAGCGACTCGCAGACTGCCAGCACCTTGTATTGTTGGGTTTCTATCTATAACATTAAAAAACCTGTTCTTTATTATTATTTACCATGGTGACACAGGAAGGTAACTTCCTTAAATTTTGGAACTTTAAGTACAAAAGTCCCACCCAGCCCCTAAATGTGACAGAGCTAAGAGGTCTCAGGAGTCAAAAGTTAATGATGCAGAATGTTATATTTTTATTGGAAAGAAAGTATCATAACGAATGTGAGATTTAGGATTCTCAAGACAAGCAAGTGTGAGGGAAGCGTCGTCCGTGGACTGCCTCGGGGACCACATGGGAGTTGCATGAAGACATCCCAGGCTTCGTCTAGGTGGTTTGACTCCTAGGGAGAGAGAGAACAATCTTAAATGTGGAGCGGGTGCAGAGGGGCCAGTGAGGGGGACCCACGTGTCTTTGCTTCCCCATTGTCAGCTGTTACTGCTACTTTTCCTCTCCTCTGAGTCACAAACAGGGACTTTTTCGCACTCATTTCTTTCTTTTATCAAGAGAGGAGAGGAATCTGATTCTTGAATGTATGGTGATCTAAAGATGCTCTTCACTATAAAACTTCCAACATGATAAGCAAGAAATTAACCTTTGACAAGTGAAATTGTAAGAATTGATAAGATTATAAACTTATAAATGACGTGAACTTCCAAGTTTTTTTTTCTTTCACTTGTTGGATTGTACAAGAGAAAACCATTGACAGTACACACTAAGGGTAGGGATTCAGGATACAGTCACAGCCCAGGTGCCTTTAAGCTCTGTTCTGCCAGGTGCTTTTCTCACCTTCCCAAAGGTCACACACCACAGCTCCACTGGTGTGCACAGTGGGGACCAGTCCCATAGAATGACCCAGGGAGTGTCCATGCATAACTTCTAAACACTGCATAGGTATCTCCCTCACTAGGGAAAATACTCACCATCATATTGGTCCAGACCCTCTGCTGGTCAGTGAATGTATTATTTAAGACAGGTCTTGAGAAAACTGGCTCTTCCTTCTCTTTACAAATGAACTCTCACCTTCTGCATTAGAACCACTGTAATCGCCAGAGCTAATTTTACTTTTTTTATGACTTGATTCCTCATAGCTTTCCTCACTGGAGGAGGCTCTGTGGTCACTGAAAGAGATATCCGCCTTGTCAAGGGAGTATGATGTCGGAGAACCTAATGCAAACCTCCTCTCCCCCGAGCCTGTTCCATAGCTCTCGCTGGCCGTTTCTTCAGACTGTGAGAATTTTTCTGATAAGAAAAAAAAAAACAGGTTTATTCTCTACCTGTATCTTTCTATCTGTATCTGTCTTTCTGGGTTTGTTGTGAAGTAAGACATTGTAAACAACCTGTGGTGTTGCTATTATTAGTAAATCTGATTGCTCTGATTGGCTCTATCTTGTGGTACAACTTGTCTTTTGTGTTGTCTAGAAACTCCTCGATCTTTTGTCTAGTTAGAAATAGGCTTGATCTACTTGGCAACTGTAGTTAATAATTCATATGTGTTTTAATAAAGAAACTTGCCTGAAGATCAGAGAGTAAAACAGCCCCACTGGTCAGTCTTACAGACCAGGCAGTGGTGGCCCACGCCTTTAATCCCAGTAGCCACACTAGTTTTCCTTAGAAACTGGGTAGCAGTGGTGCACGCCTTTGATCCTAGCACTAGAGAGGATGATAAAACAGGAAGGGACAACTCTCACTCACAGTTTTACCTGAGATTCTTAGAGGCAGGATTGCCATTTCAGACTGAGGTAGAAGTAAAAGCCAGTGACTGGTTGTTGTGCTTTTCTGAACTTCAGGCAAGTTTTATTTATTAAAATACAAATAAAATATCACAACATTTGCAACTGTCCTTGTTCCTCCTCTAATAATCAGCAATAAGAATCTTTGAGTTACATGATCTCCAATGTTCCCTTGCAATCCCTGCCACCAACTTTTTGGACATCAATTCACTGATATTCGTGCAAGAGCTATGGAAGAAGCTATGCAAGACTAGCTTCTCATCAGAATTGAGAGTCTTTGGAAAACAGCATTCTTCAGATCCTAGGGGTCCCTTTTAAAGAACATTGTCTTTGTTGCTTTTCCCTAAGGTCAACTCTTCCCACTTACGTTTGGTTTTCTTCCCAGTGGCTTCTGTCACCAGGAAGAGAAGCAATGCGAGGAGGAAGAAGCTGGCAGTCTTCATTTTGTCAGAAGAGACCTTGACTGAAAGTTGAGCTGTTCCTAATTTATATGTTTCCAAAGTGGGTGTACCTGGAGTTATATAAGGCACAACCCTGCCCTACTTATCTTCCCCTCTGCTATGCAGGTGGTATTGTCATTATTTCCTGGAATTCTATAAAAGCACATCATATCAGAGACCTTCTCCTTTACCTCCAACCCCAGCCAATCTTTATCAACACTTGTGATCATTACACACAGTTTCCTGTATTTCTGAAAGAAATTCATTCAGAACTGGAGAAGACAATTCTTTCATGGTACAATGTATCCATACTATGATCAAACTTTGGGCAGAACAGTATATGGCTCTCTCTGTCCTCATCTATATTATATAAATTTGTGCTTATAATTCCTTCAAGTTAACTTTGAATATATTGTACCTGACAAATAATATAAAGATGTAAAGACACAAAAAAGAATGAACTCAAGAAATCCAACTGAAAAATTCAATGAGGCAGCTAAAAACTCCAATGAAAAGCCTCACCAACAAAATGGATTGTGTTGGAGGCAGGATGTGAAGGATGAAAAACAAAATAAAGGCATTGGATCATTTAGTAAAGAACAATGAGAATTTTTTTCAAAAAAACACATAAATGGAACCATGGGAGAGTTTTTGAGGCACTGAGAAAAGATGTAACCTCTGAATTGTGGACATAGAGGAAGTATGAAAAATAACATAGCAAAGCATAGAGAATACATTCAGTAAAGACATAGAAAAAGATACTTTTACTAAAGAGATGCCAATTTTTACACAAAAGACTTACTGAATAGGAAAGACCTGGAAAAAGTTTTCACGATATATTTAAAACATTAAAAACAGAGAATGAAGGGTTTTAAAACTAACATAAATGTCAAGTCACATAAAGACAGGCCAACTAGGAAAACATGATTATTCAGCAGGAATCTTTAGAGCTAGAAGGGTCAAGAAAGATACAAGTTCTGAAAGATCACAACTGTCAACCAGACTACTACACTCAGCAAAACTATCTATTAAAGTTGAAGGAGAAATAAAAATATTCCATAATAAAAACAGGGTAAGGGAATTTATGATCATTAAGCCAGATCTACAAGAAGATACTGGAAGGAATTCTCTGGTTTGAAGAGAAAACTGAACACAGCATTAAGGTACAGGGAACAAATAAACAACTGTAGAACATTTATCCAAAAGAGGCTAAAAAAGACCATAAGATCAACAAAATGATAGGAAATGATACATGTCTTTCAATAATAACTCAAGACTGTTAATGATCTCTGTGGTGGTTTGAAAGCAAATGGCCTCCAAAGAGAATGGCGCTATTAGGAGGCATGGGCTTTATGAGAGTAGGTATGGTCTTATTGGAGGAAGTGTGTCATTGTGGAGGCAGATTTTGAATTCTCATATGCTCAAGTTACCGCCCAGTGTTAACAGTCCACTTCCTGTTGCCTTCTGATCAAGATGTAGCCATTACCAAGTCTGTCTGCATGCTGCCATGCTCCCTGCCATGATAATAATGGACTAAACCTTTGAAACTGTAAGCTACCACCTCAATTAAATGTTTTTTTAATAAGAGTTGCCAAGGTCATGTTATCTATCTCTTCACAGCAACAGAAAGCCTAACTCAGACAGTCTCCATTCCTCAAATAAGACAAAGACCAGCAGACTGAATTAGAAAACGAGATCTGTCTTTTTGTTGCCACAAGAAATATACTTCACCATCAAAGACAGATACCTTCTTAGGGTTAAAGTATGAAAAATATATTCCAAGCAAATGTAACTGAGAAACAAGCAAGGTAGCTATTCTAATAGCTGACAAAATAGACTTCAAACTAAAACTAATCAGAAGAGATAAAGAAGGACACTTTCAGCTCCTTAAAGAAAAAAAATCATCAACAGAACATTGCAGTTCTAAACATGTACTTACCAAACACATGCACACAATTTCAGAAAATGGACGTTAGCTCTGAAATTCACAGATAGGCCAAACACAGTGATGCTAGGTGATTTCAATACTTCATCTTACCAACAGACAGGTCATGATATTTGAATGAGCAAAGAATCTATTTTTAATAAAAGGAAAAAATGAAAAAAATCTATATTTTACCATATTTGAAAGTCTGAAGGGAACATATTAATATCTAGATATATATATATATCCTACAAAAGATATATATATATCCTACAAAAGATAAATCAACATGAAATAAATAATTTAAAATGATTAACATCCCATGAGATAGTAATGATTAAAAATCTTGCAACTCAGAACAACCCAGGACCAGATGGATTCAGCACAGAACTCTACCAGACCTTCAAAGAAGAGTCAATACCAATATTTTTCAATTTCCAAAAACTGAAAAATGAGGAGACATTTTTAATGTTTTTCGTTTATTCTTCTCTCATATATTACATTCTGATCACAGTTTTCCTTCCCTACTCTCCTCCTAGTCCCTCCCCTGAACCACCTCCCCTCTTACCCAGACCCACTCCTCCTCTGTTTCACTTCAGAAGAGGACAGGCCTCCCAGAAATATCAACCAACATGAAAGTGTACAGTAAGCCTACAGCCAGTATCTTCCTAAATAGAGAAAAACTCAAAGCATTTTCACTCAAATTAGGAACAGGACATGGATGCCAAGTCTGTCCATTCCTGTTCAATACAGTGCTTGATGGTCTGGTTAGAGCAATAAGACAAAAAAAAAAGGGCAATGGAATTGATGTAAATGAGAAAGGAAGAAGTCAAAGTATTTTTATTTGCAGATTATTTGATTCTGGATGTAAAAGACTCTAAAGATTCCTCGAAACTCCCACATCTCATAAGCACATTTATCAAAGTAGAAGGATACAAAATTAATACACAAAATCAGTAGCTTTCTGATATACAGATGATCAAGAAAGAAATTAGGAAAATTATGCCATTTAGAGTAGCCTCAAAAATATGATAAAATAGAGCCGGAGAGATGGCTCAGAGGTTAAGAGCACTGGCTGCTCTTCCAGAGGTCCTGAGTTCAATTCCCAGCAACCGCATGGTGGCTCACAGCCATCTACAGTGAGATCTGGTGCCCTCTTCTGGTATACAGGCACTTTAAATCTTTAAGAATATTGTGAAATGAACTAACCAAGGAAGTGAAAGACTTGTACAATGAAAACTATAAAACAGTGATAAAAGAAATTAAAGAAGACATGAGAAGCTGGAAACATCTCCTGTGCTCATGGCTTGGTAGGAATAATATAATGAAAATGACCATCTTACCAAAAAGCAACCTACAGATTCAATGCAATCTCCATCCAAATTTCAACAAATTTTTTTTACATAAATTTAAGAAATAATGTTAAATTTCATAAGGAAGCACAGAAGACCTAGGGCAGTCAAGATAATCCTGAACGAGTGCTGAAGGAATTGCCATCCCAGACTTCAAGCTCTAGTATGGAGCTATAGTAATAAAAACAGCATCGTGCTGGCAGAGAAACAGACATATTTATCAATAGAATAAAGGGTTGAGGACCAACATCTAAGTCCACGCTTCTACAGCGTCTGATTCTTTACAGAGACTAAGATACACGTTTGAGGAAAGATGGCATCTTCAACAAATGGTGCTGGTGAGACTGGATGTCTAAATGCATAAGAAGGAAAGTAGAGCTTTGCCTTTCACCTTACAAAAAAATTTAACTCCAAATAAAAAACCTCAATACAAGAGATGGTACCCTGGTTAACCACTGGCCTGAGCTCTGGGAGTTCAGTCAAAGAGAGGGAGGAGGGATATATGAGCGACGGGGGTCAAGATCATGAAGGGGAAACCCACAGAGACAGCTGAACCGAGTTCCTGGGACATCACAGACTCTGAACCAACAGCTGGGGAGCCTGCATGGGACTGAATGAGGCCCTTTGCATGTGGGTGACAGTTGTGGGGCCCCTGACAGTGGGGCCAGGATCTACCCCTGGGGTATGAGCTGGCTCTTTGGAGCTCATTCCCTATGGTGGGATGCCTTACTCAGCCTTGATGCATGGTGAGAGGCTTGGTCCTGCCTCAACTTGATGTGCCAGGCTTTGTTGACTCCCCATGGGAGGCCTTACCCTTTCTGGGGAGTTTATGGGAGTGTGGGGGGAGTTGAGGTAGGGAATAGAAGGAAGGGAGGGAGGAGGAACTATGGTTGGTATGTAAAATGAATGATAAAAAAAGAACTGGAGCTCAGAATCTGATAAAGGAGAAAGTAGGAGATATTTTTTAACTTAAAGGCACAGGAAAGGACTTTCTGTTTAGGATTTCATCAGTGGGGGCTGGAGAGATGGCTCAGTGGTTAAGAGCATTGCCTGCTCTTCCAGAGGTCCTGAGTTCAATTCCCAGCAACCACATGGTGGCTCACAACCATCTGTAAAGAGGTCTGGTCCCCTCTTCTGGCCTGCAGACATGCACACAGACAGAATATTGTATACATAATAAATAAATATATATAAAAAAGATTTCAGCAGTGCAGGCATTAACATATGGAAATTATTAATTATAATTATCAATTGTAACAATGAATTATTAATAAATGGATTGCAATTAATAAATGGGACTTCATGAAGCTATAAAGCTTCTTTACAGTAAATGACACCATGACTTTGCTGAAGATGCAACCAACAGAATAGGGAAAAGCATACCAGATATACATCTGACATAAGGTCAGTGCCTACCACAGACAAAGAACTAAAAAACTAAACACTAATAAGAACAGGCCCAGAAAAACAAATTTCACATGTTTTTTCTTATTTTCAAAAGTTAGCTTTGAATCTTGAGATACCTGTGTCCCATTTGGAATAGCAGCAGAGGCTAGGAAATTATTAAGGCACCATGGAGGGGATTTCAAAGGGAAGGAGGTAGAACTAAGAGGTGGAAACATTAAAGAAGAAGCAAGCAGGAGAGAGAGTCTAAATGTGTGTGGACGGAAGGGCAAGGTATGGGGGGAATAGCACAGATGGGTCACTAACACAAAAGACCTCTCAAAAAGTCATATAAGAACCTACTACTCAGAGGTTCCTTGGCCCCCTATCCTTCCTGGGCTCTCTGC